TAGTTTGGGTACTCGGTCTCTAAAAGGTTTGCCATCACTGTTCTAGGTTGACAGATTCTTTGATTTGGAATCCCTCATTGCCCAAGGATACATTCATTGTTAAAATAAATAAAAGTGTAGTAATAACTACCCCTATGCATCTCCCTTTATCATAGCCAGGTCCTTCATAAATGCCACATTTCTCAGGGCTGTGAGAATTGTTTCTTTTAGAAGGACCAGGAAAGGTCCATCTTTAATCAGAGCCAGATGCAAAGGGGTAGCTGAGGAATCAGGGTGGGGGTGGGGTATAGGAATGGCGGGGTGGGGGTGGAGAGCAAGAAAGTAAAAGAGAAAGTTATGCTTCTGCAATTCATTTAATTACATCTGTTGGACATATCAGTTGCATGTGGCTAGTCCTCAACTTACAAGCATTCATTTAGTGACCATTCAAAGTTACAATGGCACTGAAAAAAGTGACTTACGACCGTTTTTCACATGATTGTCGTAGCGTCCTCCCAGTTACGGAATCAAAATTCGGGTGCTTGACAACTGGCAAGTATTTATGACAGTTGCCCTGTCCAGAGGTCATTGAACCTAGAACTAAGGAGAAATTTCCTGACAGTGAGGACAATTAATCAGTGGAACAACCTGCCTCCAGAAACGGTGAATGTTCCAACACTGGAGGTTTTTAAGAAGAGACTGGACAACTATTTGTCTGAAATGGGATAGGGTTTCTTGCCTGAGCAGGGGGTTGGACTAGATGACCTCCAAGGTCCCTTCCAACTCTATTATTATTGTTGTTGTTGTTATTATTATCAACCTTCCCAGCTGGCTTCCGACAAGCAAAGTCAATGGGGAAGAATCATGTGGCCGCTTTAATCACCACATGGTTCACTTAACAGTTGTGGCAAAAAAGGTCATAAAATGGGGCAAAACTCATAACTGCCTTGCTTAGCAGTGGAAATTTTGGGCTCAGTTGTGGTCGTAAGTCAAGTATCAACGCTGCTAACATCGGATGTTCTTGCTTTGACAACAGATGGAAGTGTAGCCATCTTTTTCCCTTTCACTTTTAGAGTTAGATGATGCTGGGAGGGGGGGATGTGAATGAGAGTCCAGCTAGACATAACAACACTAAACTTAGTGTGAGAATCAAGGTTATTGAGCCCAGAGCTGATAAAGAATTGGTGGGCTGGAGAACTGGAGAGGAAGCCCGAGCTTCAAGCTAATTGGGGGATGTGATTTATGACTGTTAATTGGAGGAGGGAATTATGCTTTGGTACTATATGCCCAGGGGAGGGGAATTCAGTTTTTGGCTTCGGTTATGTAGTGCCAATATTATGCTACTCGAATAAGGTAAACAATGCCTCGAAGTTCTTTTAAAGAGTTTCATCTGTCGGAACCATGACATCAAGGACTACCTGTATACAGGTAGTTCTTGACTTATAACCAGTCATTTAGGAACCGTCTGAAGTTATGACACACCTTTGCGAGGCTACTTAAAAACCAGGATTTGAAATTCTGACTTTTCTCTCCTACCCCCCTCGGGCCACGTGATCACATTTGGGGTGTTTGGCAACTGGCCTGCATTGATGGTCATCTTCACTGTCCCACAGTCATCATGATTTACATTTTTTGCCTGAAACCAGCATTCGCTTCTGGTTTCCGGCAAAAAAACCCCCACTGCTGACAATGGATTCACTTAACAACCATCAGAAAAAGGGTCATAAAATCAGGCATCGTCCCCTGGTGACCTATTTAACAACTGACATGACATTTTACCATAATCCCAGACTCAGTTATGGCAGTAAGTTGAGGACTCTTTGCATAGAAGTATACAGTATTGGGTTGTGCATCAGATCAATTTTCCCCCCTACTCTTTTCCTGGCAGGATTTCCTTTGGAAGCTTTTTAGAACGTTACGGGCTGCTGAAGAAATTAAAGGAACAAAATCTGAAAGCCACATCCAGTCAAGAAAATGGCTTTTGGCCTGTTGCAGGGAACGGTAAGTTCTTTAAGGTTGCATCTTCTGGTAATAGCATGGATTATCTCTAATACTAATTGACTTTTATCAGCTTGGGGTGTTCAAGACCTTTAAGCTTCTCTTCCTTTTTTTATGTTTTGTTCATTTTCTTTGCTCTTTACATTCCTGCCTCTCCTTTTGAATGTTCTGAAATATTAGTGAATTTGCAGATTGTAGAAGTCATAGACTATCTAGTAGCATGTATGGAATACAAGCAGAATAGGAAAAAAATATCTAACCTCTGGAAAAATATAGCCAAATATGTATGAATTCAGAGATGGCCACTCGAAGAATTACACTTACAAATAAATCAGTGGTCCCTTTTGGTAGGGAAGTAGATCTCATTTATCATTCTTTTTTAGAAAAATAAGCCCCTAACATACTAATCTGGGAAGGGTTATTGAGCGTTTGATTTGGTTTCTTATGTTTTTGTTGTCAGCAAATTAAATGAATTGCCCGTTATCTTTCCAACTTTTTGGTTTGGGTTTTGGTTTTCCTAGTTCTCCTTGGATTCTTCTTCCACTCTTGACCAAACTTGCTTCTCTCTACGGCAGCCTCTCTCTCTCTCCAAGCAACACACTTCACCCCTCTCTCCTTGCTTTAGCAGAACAAGGCTGGCTAGTAGAGGTAAGCTTAGATTAGAACTTCCTTGCCACGGGCCAGACCACATGGGTTGGTAGCACCCATTCAAACAGGAGGGGATGTTGTGTGGTGTTTTGCAAGCTCCAGCCAAGCCCAAGGGCCACTTCCAAGTCTGGTTGGGTAGAAAGCAGCTATGGAGAAAACATGAGAGGAGGGAGGTTGGTGGGTATTCCATAGTTCTTCCATCCATGTATGGTAGGGGAACCTACTCTCCTACAGATGTTGGGATTCTCATTGCCCATCCAACATGGCTAGTGGTCACTCACGATGGAAGGTGTAATCTCAACAAAATTGGAAGGCTGATTTTCTAACTCAGCCGTGGAGCTCTAAGGGGGCCATTCTCTCAACTTAGTGAGATAAAATGTATGTTTTTATTTGTGGTTTTTATTGATGTGTAGTGTGCACTGGGGATAGCATTCAATTTCGTTGTGAGATACACAATGACAATAAAGATATTCTTCTCTACTCTACTCTACTCTACTCTACTCTATTCTTACTCTATTCTACTCTATTCTACTCTATTCTACTCTACTCTACTCCTATTCCAGTGACGGCGAACCTTTTAGAGACCGAGTGCCCAAACTGCAACCCAAAACCCACTTATGCATCATCGAGTGCCGGGTGCGTGTGGCCCATTGGCTGGGCATGGCCCATTGGCTGGGCGTGGCTGCGGTGGTAACGGCAGACTGGACGGGACTAAAAAGTTCAATCAATCAATTACAACTTTGCAAGATTTTTTTTCCCCGCGAGAAGTTGAAATTGACTGATTGATTGAACCTTTTTCTTTTTTTGCACACGGCGGTGGAGGCCTAAAGCGAAAAGGTTTTATAAAACCCAGCTGAAGGCCTAGGACTGGGGCGATGGCGCGTGTGCCCATAGAGAGGGCTCTGAGTGCCACCTCTGGCACCTGTGCCATAGGTTCGCCACCACTGTCCTATTCTATTCTATTCTTTTCTTATTCTTATTCTTATTCTATTCTATTCTTATTCTACTCTATTCTGCTCTACTCCTATTCTATTCTATTCTATTCTATTCTAATATTATTCTACTCTACTCTACTTTACTCTATTCTTATTCTACTCTACTCTACTTCTGTTCTATCCTATCCTATCTCACAGAACTGTTGTGGATAACTGAGCCAGCAATTATTCTCGCAAGTCATGACTGTTGTTAAGCAGGTGACACACCTGGTTTTACGATCGTGTTGGCATCTGTCATAAAGCAAATGCCATGGTCATGAATGCCAGTTTCTGGGGGGGTGAATCATAAATTATGATCACGTGATTACAAGATGCTGCAAATGGCCAAAATATGGTCACATGATAATGGGGGGAGAGGGAGAAACAGCCATTGTAACTTTGAATCCAGGTCATAAGTCCCTTTTTCGGGGTCTGTTGTAACTTTGAGCAGTCACTATGCAACCAGTCATAAGTCAAGGTTACTACTTGTAGATTCAGTAAAGAAGACAGGATCCATAAACGCTGCACCCATTCCATGCTGGAGGGGAAAGATTGTGTATGTTTAAATCTCAGAGCCTCATCTGCTTTGCCATTTCCAAGGCCTTTTAATTAGTCCTATTTTATTTAGTACTTGTTAGGTACAAGCCCATGTAGTTTGACCCACAAGGACTGCTAATATTTTAAAACATTTTCATGATTTTTTAAAAATTCTTTTAACAGGCAAATCAGGGACTCCTCCTGTAAAAGAAGAAGGTGACATTTTGCAGTCTGAGGTCCAAGATATCCTTCAGCAAGTGAAACCCAGTAATTCTTCCGTCAAACCTGGAGAAACCAGATCACACAATCTATCAATGTTTTGTGGCAAGACCAAAATATTTTTGACCAGCTCCATGGTGAGAAGCATCCAGCAAGTTCTGGAAAGGAAAGGAAAATGTTGGCTGGGGGTGGAGTCATGCTGATTTTTGCCAAGATAGAATTCTGTAACATCGAAGGTTTCTAGCCCTCATGAGGATACATGAAACACAGGACTGGGAGATGGAGGCAAAGCGCTTTGGTGACTTAGGTTCAGGTCTCCCCATTCTTCCTACTCTCCACCTGCCTTGAATGTGGGGAAAAAACAAAATCATTTTGATTGGCATAACTGTTTTGTAAACCAGAAAAAAGAGGATGAAGTTTAGCCCTGAGCATGTAGCCTTGACTCTTGTAGTAATAATAATAATAATAATAATAATAATAATAAAAAAAAAAAGTTGGAAGGTACCTTGGAGGTCATCTAGTCCTTTTTCATGAGGCAATTGGACTTTCTTGTTTTTAATAAGAATAAGAAAGTTGGAAGAGGCCTTGGAGGTCATCTAGTCCAACCCCCTGCTCAGGCAGGAAATCCTATATACCATTTCAGACAAATGGCTGTCCAATCTCTTCTTAAAGACTTCCAGTGTTGGAGCATTCACAGCTTCTGGAGGCAGGTTGTTCCACTGATTAATTGTTGACTCTGGGGGAAAATAAGGGTGTATGTGTGTATGTGTCAGGATAATAATTTAATAGCTAAACAGCTTATGTAATGGGGTAATGCAATGTAAGGTGGATGATGCAATAATAGGAATGACTCAGCAGGTGTGTGTATCCCTTTAAGAGCCTGAGTATAAAAGGGAAGGCTTTTTGCTGCTGTGTTCTCTCTTGTCCATTTCCTGCTCTAACTGCTGTATATTGGAGTTTGCTGTTTCACCACCTGTATGTATTTTATTTCTAGTGTATATTTGTAGATATAGTGTAATATAAGCCACCATTTAATACAAACCACTGTTTATTTACTCCTGGGTTACCTCAGCACAATAAGACTGTGCATGCTCTAACAGTATGTGTGTAGGAATTTGTTTTGGCTACAGCCGGGTCCAACAAGAAAATCTTTTTTTTACATTCTTTTTCATAGCTGGAGCTTCTCGAATTCCAAAGGGCTTCTATCTTATCCGAGAAAGCGTACTGCATCCAATGCTGTTGGAGAAGGTTTAGGAGGAAGAAAGTGGCCAGGCAGAGATGGTCTGCAACCATCATCCAATCAGGTGAGGGGGAAAGCTTATATACTGAGAGGTCTGGAAGAACTTCTACATGTCCTTTGAGAGAGGAGACAGAGCTCAGAGTGAAAGGTTTGCTTTGCAGGTTCAATCCCTGAAATTTCAAATTAAAGGGACCAAATTAGGGAGAAGCCTCCTTTCTCCCACTGGAAAGTCTTAAAAACACTGGAGGTTTTTAAGAAGAGACCAGACAACCATTTGTCTGAAACGATGCCGGATTTCCCGCTTGAGCAGGGGGTTGGACTAGAAGACCTCCAAGGTCCCTTCCAGCTCTGTTATTCTGTTATTTCCCCAAGTCCCAAGAAAATCAGAAGGAGCCATTTGTCCTAGTACAGTGGTGGCGAACCTATGGCACGCGTACCAGAGGCGGCACTCGGAGCCCTCTCTGTGGGCACATGTGCCATTGCCCCAGCCTTGCCTCCTCCCGTGACCCACTCCTCACCAGCAGCCCCCCTGGAGGAGAGTCGCCCCCGAGTGTGGCCCATGTGGAGCAGCGCAGCTAAGAACATGGCAGCCAGGCAGCGTAGACAAGAATCTGGCCTCACGCCTCATCGTGCACAGTTGATGCTGCGGGGCGCGGGCAGAGGGTGTGGCGCTGCTGGGCTGCCTGGGCGATCGGTGGGCCCTGGAGGTGGTGAGTGGCCTTGCGGGAAGGTGGGGTGGGGGCAGGGCAGGGGGGTGGAGCAAGGCCGGGGCCAGTTTTTGGGCACGCAGTCGCTAAAAGGTTCACCATCACTGTCCGAGTATAAGAGAGTTGCTATTTGTGTCCCACTAGCACAGTGGTTTCCAACTTGAGGCAACTTCACGTTGTGTGGAATTTCAAATCCCAGTCAGCATAACTGACTGGGGAATTCTGGGAGTTGAAGTTCATGAGTCTTAAAGTTGCCAAGGTTGAGAAAGATTGCTTCTAGCATGTATATTTTTTTTCTCTTCTTTTGGTAGCTGTTCGCCAGTGGTTAACTAGGAAACATTTCCAGAAGTTACGTAAAGCTGTTAGGATTATAAAACAGGCCTGGAAGAAATGGAAGGTAAGAGAAACAAGTTTGACAAGGTAAAAAAAATCATCCAGGTGTTTTTTGGTTTTTTTTGAAAACTGGAAACAAAAGGAGGTGCATGCTGCAATTCTGGGCAAAGACCCAAGCAAGCGGGGTTTTTTTAAAGTGTTTTTCAAGAGTTTCTAGTCCTTATGACTGCAAATGCGTTAAAGCATGTTGGTGAAGAGTCTAAAAGAGTTTGGGTGGAGGCATTGACAGAACTGGAGGCTTTCCTCAAAATGATGCAGACAGCATCATAAAGAATTGCACTGTTGCAACTTCAAATGGTCACTAAATGAGTGATTATAAGTCAAGGACTACCTGCAATCTCTTTTTTTTAATGATTGCATGCTTGATATTAGGCAGCTGTACTGCTTCCAGATTATTTAATCCAGAAGAGAAATAAATCTTCCTGTCATGGCTCCGACAGATGAGACCAGTAAAAGCAGAACTCCAAGGCAAAAAGTTTCCTTAAAGAAAGTGTTTATTGGCTACAAAGTATCGGCACAGTCAAAAGTGGAACCAAGTTTGGAATTCCCTCCCAGATGTTACAATGTTACAAAGTTGAACACCCCCCCACCCCAGCACTATGTAATCAACTACTTCCCCAATAAAATACTTCAGCGGGCTTTCTAATGGAAGGTTCAGCCCACCAAACATCAGGCAGCAATGACCTTGGTTCCCATGGGACAAAATATTGTTTAGACTAGGGGTAGGCAACCTTGGCTCTTTTATGACTCGTGGACTTCAACTCCCAGAATTCCTGAGCCAGCCATGCTGAGGAGAAAGGGAGAGGTAGCTATGCTGGCTCAGGAATTCTGGGAGTTGAAGTCCACGAGCCATAAAAGAGTCAAGGTTGCCTACCCCTGGTTTAGACTAACTTTAAAACCACTTATCCCTCCTCCCTGTACTGCGGCAACCGAAAATGAAACAAAAATGGCTTCAGCCAAGATCACTGCAATGCTGTTGTTTTTTTAAATAATTTTTATTAATAATACAAAATTAAAAACACATTGGACATAGATAGGACGTCACTGGTTCCATACATCTTCCGACATTTTACAGTAGTATTAGTACACATATAGACATATAGTTCTTGAGCTTTGCTCACTATTTATAATATAATATTAACACTTTTTCCCTTATTTCTGTATATCTATTTATCTTTTAAATATACATTTGTCTATAATCTATATTTTATTCTAACACTATACATTTGTCTTGGCTACCCTCTTATCATAAAATTGTTCCCAGATTTTATAGTACTTGGTTTCACTTTTATCCTTGAGTTCCCATGTAAGTCTATCCATTTCAGCGCAATTGAAAATTTTCAGTAATATTTCCTCTTCGGTTGGAGTATCTTTCTCTTTCCATTTTTGAGCGAAGGCTATTCGTGCCGCTGTTACTATATGCAGTAGTAAATAATTTGTATCTTTCTTATATTTTCCTTCTATAATTCCCAATAAAAATAATTCCGGTTTGGCCTCTATTATCTATTAGCAAAATTTAAGATCATTGCAATGTTGATGCTTCCCTTTCTCAAAGATGACTTGGTGGATAAATCGGAGTATTTTTTTATTTCTTTTCCGTAGACCAAGATGGCTGTGATAGCCGCAGAAGAACTGGATGGCATGGAAGAACATCCCTCTCTCCTCAGAAAAGCTGCTTCCTCACGCCAGGCTGCTAAAAAACTGGACGGGTCCTGGCCTCTGAATTCCATCATCCACTCCTGGCCTCTCAGTCTTGTTCTATCACGCGCCCCGACGACACTTGGGGGGCTCCAGAGAGACCTTGCTCTCCTAACGTGCCTCCAAGTCTTAGAGAAGGTGAGCTGGACCAAGGCGGAGACCAGGCTCCCAGTCGTAGGTGTCAGCTCCATCCGAGCTCCTCCACAGGTAAGGACGATTGTTACACATGCTTCCAGGTTTGGCTTAAGAGTTTTGCTCACTTACATGCTCACTGTTGTGGCTCCGTCTTGTGAGCCCCTCTTATCGGAGGAAGAAGGCTCCGAACATGAAGGAGAGGAGATGGCTAGGCCTCCCTCTCCAGGACCCTCCTCTTTGGCAATGCCTCAGATGTCTTCCGATGGAGAAGAGATTGACCAGGAGCCAGGTGGTTCAGAGATTGGCCAGGAGCCCGGTATTTCTCAGATTGGCCAGGAGCCAGGTGTGTCGGATAATGAGGAGGAGAAGTTGTGGCTGGATCCACGCCAGTGTAGGAGCGATAAGCGTGCGCAGCAGAAAAAGAGACGTGCCACAGATTAAGCTGAGTCACTGGACCACACCCCACAGGCTATAAAAGGGTGATGGTGGCCATTTGGACCTCTGTGACGGACAAAAGCTGAATCTCTGGCAAAGTAGTGTGCTGTGGTTTTAAACTGTGTGTATTGTTTTTGTTTCTGGGTGTTTGGAGTAAAAGGTCTTGGCAGGCAGCTACGGAGCTGCTGCCAAGTTTCTTATCGGTGAAGTGGTGTCTGGAGAAGTCTTTAAACCCTCGGCTGGCTGTTTGGGTGTGTGGGTCGGAACGGGGACAGAACACTCACATCCCTGGAAAACAGCCAGGCTTAAATCCTTTTCCGCCAAACACTGAGGCACCACCAATTTTTATTTTTATTTTTAATATATGGAGACCCAGTGAATGTAAAATAATTCCCATGTTAGCCTTTCCTAGCATAGTATAGGACAGGGATAGGCAACCTTGACTCTTTTAGGACTTGTGGACTTCAATACCCAGAATTCCTGAAGCAGCCATGCTGACTCAGGAATTCTGGGAGTTGAAGTCCATAAGTCATAAAAGAGCCAAGGTTGCCTTCCCCTGGTATAGGTAGTCCTTGATCTATGACAGTGGGGAACCGAATTTCCGTTGCTAAGCAAGACCCGTTCTTGACTTTTTTGACTTTTTATGACTTTTTTTTGCCACGGTTGTTTATGACTTTTTTTTTTTTGCCACGGTTGTTAAGTGAATCACTGTGGTTACAAGAATCATGCAGTTGTTAAGCAAATTCAGCTTCCTTCATTGATGTTCGTTTTCGGAAGCCGGCTGGGAAGGTGGCAAATGGCAATCACGTGACCCGGAGATGCTGCAACCATTATAGATGCATGCCGGTTGCCAGGCACCCGAATTTTGGTCATGTGACCATGGGGATGCTGAGGTGGTTGCAAGTCACCTTTTCCCATGCTATTATTATGACTTCAAAAAGTCGCTAAGCAAATGGTTTGTAAGTCAAGGACTACCTGTAGCTGTTTTATCTTACGGAATATGTACATATATATGGAGGTTACTGGACTAATTAGCTGGCCCCACCACCCCTCCGTGCTTCCCAGTCGTCCCCCCCCTCCCCCCATCTTTTTTTAATTTCACATTATTGTACTTCCATTCTGTATTGTTTTATTCTGTTACCGTATATTTACGAGTCACCCAGAGTAGCCCCATGTAACGATGGGGGTCAAATACATTTAACGTGAATATATCCACATAAAATAATTAAATAGATCGCAATGCTCACTGGGCATTGTTTTAGAAAAGTATGCTAGCTGTGCCCCAGTTTGTCTTCACTGTAAATAACCATCTAAATGGCTTCATGTTTTATGGCGTTTTGCAATTATTGTCTTTTTTTTAAATTTGTATAATGGCTTGGTAATCCAGTATCTTTTTTTTTTCCCCTCAGGGCTCCATCAAGTTCCACTGCAGGAAGTCCCCGCTGCTTTATGCCAACACCAGGCCATACAGCCACAGCTGCATAGTGGCTGGGTTCAACCAGATTCTCCTTGATCAGTGTGCAATACCTTGAGTCTGCAAGGGTCCTTTGGGATCCTTGATCTGCCCTGTATTTATTGCTCCTGGTAATATCTTCTTCTTAGGCTGCTTCCTGGAGGACTAGAAAACTTAACTTAAGCACTTCTTCCACATACAGAAATGGTCTAAAACAGTGTTTCCCAACCTTGGCTGCTTTAAGAGGTGTGGATTTCAACTCTCAGAATTCTGGGAGTTGTAGTCTACACATCTTAAAGCAGCCAAGGTTGAGAAGCACTAGATGCAGAAGTAGAGTCCTGGTCCACTCATTCAATCCATCAATTTATTAAAATAAATTGTACTCCTTTTCCCCATTTGATGTTTTTTTAACGGCCACATAATTATATTCATTTATTACCAAAGTCACCATTTTAATGTAGCGAGAACTTTATATTTTCAAAAAAAAAAATTCTACCACGCTTTGTCGGTGTTACCAACATAATGAAGAAAAAGCTCAAGGCCCTGGGCATTTTTTAAAAAAAAACAAACATATATATAAAGAGTTATTTTAAAATTTTCTTGTGAGATGCAGCTGTTTTGTTCAAAATATTTCTTAAAATGTCAGGGAAAAGAATAAATAAATTATTAAAAGGCAGAGGACAAAACAATAGTCTCCGAGCACTCTTCCCAATTTCTGGGTTACATTATATATACTGTATAAATTAAGATGTAATAAACGT